CACCCAAGTCCTCTCACCCAAATCCAGGGCCCTTTCCACAGTGCAGCACACTTCCTCCCTTTGCTTTTGATCATTCCACTAGTGTTCATTCCACTAGTGTTCATTCATGTGAATCTCACAGATCATTTGGAGAGCAGGAAAGCATTCATCCAGCCCTTCAACCTTTCTCTCTAGCAGGGAGAATGATTTGCTCTTAATGCACGTTTACCATCTTTTGGTTGTCTGTGGCAGAAGGACAAAGGCAACACGGTCTCTGTGAGTGGCAGCTTGGCAGGAAGGGTCACAGCCCTCAGTCCAGCACTCCTTGCCAGAATCCAGGACCTCACTATAGGAAGGGCCCATCTGCTCCTGGCACAGACACTGGCATTCAGGGAGACAGGCAGCATAGTCTGTCCCAGGCCGGAGATGGAAGTGTATTGATGTGAGAAGTAATTAGATCAGAAAGTGACTCCGATTAAATCATAGCAACTTTTTTAAAAAAATTATCTTTTATTTATTTTTAACATTCACAAAAATGAGAGGAAAGTTTTCACTTTGGGACTTTAATCATCCCTTTTGCCCTCCCAGGGCTTGGGCTAAAATCCTGCCTCTGATGCTTACTACCTGTATGGCCCTGGGCAAGTCCCTGATCTGGGCCTTAGTTTCCTCATTTGTAAAATGAGGGTTTAGGATTCGATGTCCAGAAAGTAAGGAATATTGCCATACCCTGACTATGGTCCCCTATGGAAATAAAGTCCACTGGCAGTTCACCTACCTTGTGGCACCAGTACATTTCTTCAAACCTTTGGTTAGCAGTTGTTACTTTGGATGCAAATATTCCAGGTTATTTATCTGACCTAAGAGTCTCTAATGATACTGCAACTTACTCCAAGTGTTCATAGCACCCTTTACCACCTCCATAGGACTCTCTCTCAGAACACATTATGGGAATTTTTAATTTCCTTTTTTATTAGGACTCAGGGCCATTCCTACTGCAGTTTTTAGTTAACTAAAAGTCTGTTTTTTAACAAAAATTGTCCCATGGGATGTAAAAATTTTACTTAAGAGACTTAAAGCATTCCTAAGAGAAGAAGCCAGAGGAAGAATCTGTCTGAACTGTCCCTGACTCCTTGGTGACGTACAAATCCTCCTCCTCAATCAGCCTATTTATGAGCCCTCTAACTATAGTTTAATCTGTACCCTGACTTAGTTTACCTGTAGTTTGTTTTTTTTTAAAACAAGGTTTGTTTCCTTAGGGGATGTATGAATTTATGACTCTGTTTAACTAAATTTGTTCAACTTTTATGACGTTGGAGGAAGTATGGGGTTATGGATCTATCTTCTCCTTAACTTTTATGGCCTAAGAGAAATGTACAAGATAGGAATATGTAAAAGAATTATTTGTCTATCACTCTGATATAATTTTGCTCACAAGAAGCCTTGTCAGAATCCTCATGACGGCTGGTTCAAATTTTCTCTGAGGCCCGAACCTATGCTTGAGCATAACAATAAAGCCTCGGTTTTCACCTCTGTATTTTTCGCATTGTGGTAATTATGTATTTGGCAGCAGTTACCCAGCGTCTGAACTCAGAAAGGAGATATTTCTCCCATAACACACGCATAGACCACCTCCAGGCCTCTCTCCATGGTCAATGTTTTTGGTAAAACCGGAGCGTCTGCTGTTGCTGCCCCCACCCTACACACAGGGAGAGGCACACACACAATCCATCACTGAACACAATATCTCATATACAGTAAGTGCTTAATAAATGCTCATGCACGCGCGCGCACACACACACACACACACACACACGTGCATGCACTGGCCAGAACAAATAATTGAGTGACTCCTTCCCCCACTGTTTTCTTCCTTCTGACTAGAGACACCTGGAGTGAGCCCACATGGCTCACAAAAGCATAATTCTTTCTGCAGCTCACAATAGGTGAGCTCCAGTTTAGGTGCTCACAATAGGCTCACAATGGGAGGTTGTAGAAAGGCGTTTGACCATTCTTGAGGCCCACAGTAGTTGTGTGTGCTTAGGACACGTGGCCAGCCCTACTTAGATGTTTCCTTACCAATTCTAAGCTTCTTTTAGGTCTGTTTCCACCTTCTTTGCATGTATTTTCTCTTAGCTGTTCTTGATCACTGCACAGGATGCAAATGAGTCAACATCATCCCCACCATAAGGCACTGTCATTCAGGAGAGTTTGAGAGAAACTTGCAAGACTGAATGTCAATTTGACTTTGGTTTGTTACAAATAAAAGTTTCAAAAAAGAAGAGGAGAGTGTTTTTTCCATTTCCTTCGGGCTCACTTGAATGGTCGGCTCAGAAGATAGCCATATACACATTTGTGGTTAGGTTTGTTGTTTTTTTTTTTTTAAATGAGGTTTCTAATACCTTTCAGTTTTAGAGCAGAACAAACTTCTTAGAACTGCAACTTAACAGAGGAGGAAGAGTTATAGTTCTCCTAAGACTTTGTTTTCAGATCTTTGTATTTGGAATAGGAAATTTATAAAGCACTCATATCTTCTCTCTTCCTTCCCCACCCTCCAACCATTTACACACATGGTAATTATGAGGCAAAAGAAATATAGTGAGAAATTGAGCTTCAACAGGAGTTCAGGCTGAATAAAAAAATCCTAGCAGATAGCAGAGTCAAAGGCTAGAAGAAACCTTCGTGGTTACTGAGTCCAATACCTTTCTTTTTACAGATGAGAAAACTGAGGCCCAGGGAGGTTAAGTAGGTTATTCAAAGTCAGAGAGAAAAAGAGCAAGGGTTCAAATCTAGGTCTAGAGTTTCTTTCATTTCATCCTGCCCCAGGTATGTTTGCTTAGATTATTTATTAAAGCTCTGGTTCTAACAGAAGCTGAGCTCTGCTGAGGGTCCTCATGAATGTGACATGGCATTAGCATTCTCCTTGTCTGCCCAACTTCCTGTATTCTCTTGGTTAAATTTAGAGAAATTATCATCTTTTGGAACTGTATCTTACAATTCTGAAGAGAAGGAATTTCATTTGGAAACTCTCTGTCTCTAGATATAGAAATGTAGCATGGATATTTTGTTTTCTCTCTCTCTTGAGATTTCTGGGCATTACTGTGGAGTGTGGTGTGGCCTGGTGCAGCATAACTTCCCCCTTGATCATTCAATGGGGCTCATTTGAGAAGTACCAACCTTTCCTGCTTCAACACTGGTGCTACAGATTTAGACAGGTCCTCTTATCTTATCTTATTGGGGTTAGCATTGTGCATTCAGAAGGGAAGTTTTAAATTATGTGGATGTATTTTCTTAAATTATGTTTTCCCTATAGGTGCATCTCAGGGGACAGGGCTTCCTTTCTGCAGCTCAGTAGCTGAAAGTGACCTAAGAAACCTACAGTGATGGTTTTCTGAAGGGAGCTGGAGCCTGCACTACAAAATAGATGGTGTTACCAAAACCTAAAATAACAGAAGTTATTGCCATGTGAAGTTTCTAAGCTTATTCATAATCTTTCCTGAGAGCTGTTCATGATCTTTTATGAATTTTTATGAAGTGTCTGCAGTGGACTAGGGATTCAAAACTGAGATGCTTCTGTTCCTGTGATGTACCGAGGTGAATGAGGTAGATTTAAGGAATTTACTGGAATTTAATCCTGGCTTGCTGTAGTTGACCTGGAAGCCACTTCTGCAGGATAGCCATGCAAAATGGTATGTTTCACCTGGGAAGATTTGTATGAACTGATGCAAAGTGAAGTGAGCAGAACAAGAACCATTTATACAGCAACAGCAATATGGTAAAGACGATCAACTCCGAAAGACTTAGTGACTGATAACACAACAACCAACAACAATTCCAAAGGACTTGTGATAAAATATGCTGCTCAACTCCAGATAAGAGAGCTGATGGACTCAGAGGGCAAACCGAAGCCCATTTTCTTCTCTTTCTTTTTTCTTTTTGTTTTAGACATGACTAATGAGGAAGTTTGTTTTGCATAACTTTTCATATTTGTAATAGGTTTTGTTTTTCTTAATGAGTAGGGAAGAAGAGAGGAAAGGGAGGTAATTTGGAATTGGAAATAAAATAAAATTAAATTAAAAACTCCTTGAGGTGAGGATCCAGTTTTATATAAACTATGTATCTGGCTCCACACCCCCAACCCCAGCAGGGGCTCTGCACACAGCAGGCACTTAATAAATATTTGTTGAATGAGCTGACTTAAAAGAAATGCTTGTTTGTGTTTTTTCTATTTTATTGGTAGGTGTTCCAGGTGGCCATTTCACCCATCTAGCATGTGGGGGCTGGGCTGGATGAGGGGACAAGACCATCACTCTCCATCTTTGTGACCAGGACCCTCCAGTAGACCAGAAAAGGCCATCGGATTGGAGCCCAGCAAGTCTTCCTTTAGTGTATGGCATCATTTCCTCAATATGGCGGGAGGTAGAGAAGGTCCTTAGACATAAGTTTCTTAAAACAGGAGAGACCAGGACATCAGTGCTTCAGGCTATGCATGGTAAGTGAGAACTTTGAATAAAAAAAGGCCCACTCAGGTCTGTAGGACAGAGGGGTATTTTATACCAGTCACTAATGGCAGGAAGCAAATGGTAGGACTGTCCTTGCTGCTGGTCTTTGATCGACTCTAATGGTGTCTAGCTACATTCGTAGGCCTAAATTGAACTTTTTCAGAGTTCATTTCAGGGTGGGAGAAAACAATAGGCTTATTAAGAGCTTTCTAAATTTGGGGCAATGAAGGGAAGGATCAGCACTCATATCTAGATGCAGTTTAAGCCTCTCCCTGGGAAATAGGAAGATCAAAGGTATACTTGGCTTAAAGGGTGGTGTGGTGAAGGCATCTGGAGCAGAGGGGTAAGCCAGACCACAGGTTGTATTCTGGTTAGTCTCCTGTTTGTCAAAAACTCTAATCATATAACCAGGTTCCCTTGTTGGGAAGGGAGGTGCTAGGGCCTGGGTGGGAGGGGATGGCTTTGTTGTGTGACCACAGAAGCTGTTACGCGCTAATTTCCTCTAGGGCTTGTGATGAAGTCAGTAAACCACAGTGTTCAGCAGGCACCGCTCTTGCAGTGGTTCCTCTGTGGTGTCTCGACCATGACACACATTTGACATGCCCTTTCCTAGCCCCCTGACAGATTGGGGTGCTCCTGCTTTGCACCATGGACCAAAGAGAAATCCTACAGAAGTACCTGGACGAGGCCACAAACAAGAAACTCATTCGGGAGGAACGTGCTAGCGAGTTTTTGGTGAGTCTAATGTAGACACCTCTGTGTGCATGGGGTCTCGTGGTCAAATCACAAGATAGCTCAACTGTCTAAGAATTATGGGATCACAGATTTAGAGCTGGAAGAGACTTTAGTGGTCATCTAGTCTAACTGTGGGGTCCAGGCATTAAATGAAGGTAGACTCTCAAGAAAGAGCAAGTTAAAAATTTAGCTCCTTTGGGTTGCTTGTATGTTCTTTAGGTATTTCCTCCAGGATTCTTGCTTCTTGAGTTTTCCTTGCTGTTTCTTTGGACTAAACAGAGGAAATCAACCATTACAGTCTTGTAAATAATAAAGTGACTTGGATAGACAGAGTTCTCTGGACAGAGAACTAAGCTGGGGCTTACATCTTTTGAGTCTCAGAGGTAGTTGATGTTACAGGGTCAGGGGCCAGAACTAATTCCTGTAAGTATCAACACTGATGACTTGGCCACTTCTTTGCTCTTGGAATGCCATCAATGGCTACTGGACATCAGAAAAATTACCTATAGCAACATTTTCTTCCATGTACATAGACATTTTATTTTAAAATGGTTGAAAATTCATTTGTGCTGACCTAAAAGGTCAGCGTCTTGGATTTCTTTTGCTTGGGGGCAGTTAGGGCTTTGGGTGTCAGAGAAAAGACTGAGGTTGGACAGCAGGACCAAGTCAGTTATGTTAACCTAGAGTTGTGAGGCATCTCATCCGTGAGAGCTGTGAATGTTGACTTGGTATCTGAGCCCTTTATCTACTCACTTGATGCTTGGCATGTACTGGGATGAGGGAGAGAATAGGTGCTTTGCTTTAAAAGCCCAAACCTTCTAGGCTTAGCTCCTCAGTCTGTGAGATAGCGATTCCACCCTACAAGCTCAGTAAAAATTGTAGATGCTGTGGTAGCTTTAAGGGAAATGACCTGACTTTGTGGGTTCCTTTGGGATGGAGCTGCTGGAGGAAGGAGGCAATGGGGAAGTTCGGGAACATGTGTCTTTTAGACATGTGCTTTCTCACCCTGTGTCTCCTAAGAGGAATAAACCCCCTGACACGAAGGAAAAACTGAGCTTGGAGGCAATGCCACCCCCTGGTTTTAAGGCCTTGTTTTTGGGTGGTGATTAAGTGGAACCCCACTGTTGACTGACTCATCTCCTCCAGTGGAAAAACAGAGCAGCCAACCTTATCCTGGGCTGTACCATCTGAAGGTGGTGGGCATGGGGAGTGGGGGATAGTGTAGAGGTGCCAAGGGGGAAAGTGGATCATTTCTAAGAAGTGATGTCCTTTCCACAGGGGCACATTCTGCCCTTCTCGGTGGCATTTATTTTCTTAAGGGTGACTGATCTGATAGTTGTGAAGTTCAGCACTCCTGTCATATGCCTTTCTTTATAACTTCACTTTAGTACAGGGCTTGGCACACAGTAAGCACTTGATAATTGCTTGAATACCAGCTAGGGTTCTCCCTAGAAATTCTTGAACTGGTTGTAGGATTGTTTTTATTAACCATATCCTCTAGCTCCCAAACACCCATACACACACACACACACACACACACACACACACGCACATGCACACACACACATACAAAATCATACCCATACACACCCATGCACATGCATGTGCAGGCACACACTCACCCCCCCCACATGCACATGTATACACATGTGCACATGTGTGTACACATACATACTCTTCACCTGTAGCCATTATTGAATCTCACTTCAGCTAACAGCAGCACCGAGGACATCAGGGGACTTAATCTGTGGCATAGTCCACGCTTGGTACTGTCTCTACACAGCCCTTGCTGCAGTACCAAGTGGGGCTGACTGCTCAAGTCATTCCAAATGCAGCCTTCATTATATCATAGAGAGTGTCTAGGGTCAGATGTCTTAGTGGTCAGTTGAGTCAGGTATAGAACAATGATTCTCAAGCTTTTGCGCCTGAGTATTATTTGTCAGGGCAAGGTGTCCTAGGGACTACCTTTCTCACCTGTTCATGCCTACCACCATCAGTAATTCCTCTAAGGCTGGGGTGGGGGAACCTGTGGCCCTTGAAGGGCCGCACTTGAGGATCTAGAGGGCCAGATGTGGCTTCAAGGGTACAGGTTTCCCACCCCTGCCCTAAGGAAACACCTTTTGTTCCTTTCCACTCTTGATTCCTTGACTTGCCCTATTATATTACAGGGAGAGAGGGTCAATGGAGAGATATCAAGAGTAGGAGATGGGATACAGTTGGAGTGGCCCAGAAAAGAGGAATGAAGACTAAGGGACATGTAGCCTATTAGATCTGCATACCCCATGCGATATCTTTCAGAAGCTGTCACGTAACAGAAAGTCTCAGAGCACATCAAATGGCTCCGGCGGCCAGTCCTACAGCATTAAAGACAAATCCTATGCCTCCCATTTCCTGGAACTGCCCCCTTTAAGAAGAACCTGGAGGTAGCTTCCTCACCTTATTCCAGGGCAGAAAAATAACAGGATTCAACTGTGTCATTTCTGTTCAAGGCTAGCGTTTGCATTAGAATGAAAACTCAGCCCAGGGCTTTCACATTCTAGTGAGTAAGATTCTATCCACAAAGCTTGGGTTGCATCCTAATGTACAGTGACCACCTTTACTATTTTCTCCTTGAACCAGTTGAGAAACTCAGGTGAAGACTAGCACATTTGGCTGTAAAAAGCTTTCTCAGCATTTCCAGAGATGAATACTAAATCGATATAACAGGAACTTGGGGAACAAAATCAGCTTCTCCTCTACTCGGTCTACTTGGGTCAAAGAAAGAAAGAAATATATCTAAAGAAACAAAAGAACAGATCTAGAGAAAGGGACAAAGAGGGCAAGAAATGTAGATAGAAACAGGAAGAAAAAGATTTGGAGAGAGTGAGGGGAAGAGATAAAAAGAAAGGAAGAAGAGTGGGGTAGGGGAAGAGTGGAAGTGAGGTAGACTACCCCTCTGAATTCCAGGAGCGTTTGTTCGGTGTTCCTATGGGCCTGATCACATTCTATCTGGCATTATAATATTTGCCAATGTCTTCCTCTCTTCATGCCTGCCACCATCAACAATTTCCCTGTGGAAACATCTTTTAGTCCTTCCACTCCTGATTCTTTGACTTGCCTTTTGATATTATAGGGAGAGAGTCAATGGAAAGACAGCAAGAGTAGCCAACATCTTTCCTTCTCTACCCCACCTTAGTAGAATGTAAGCTCATTGAAAACTGGGACTATTGTGTGTGTGTGTGTGTGTGTGTGTGTGTGTCTTTATATCCTTAGCATCTAGCACAGGGCATAGCACATAGTAGGCACTTTAAAAAAAGCTTGCTGAATTGGATAAACAATTGATTATTCTGTTTTTCTTGTCAACACTTAACCATTCAATGACTCCATGATCACATTTGCTCTAAGAATCCACATCCACAGCTCCTGTAGAGGCTACCATGATATAATGTTCTCATATTAAAGTTCTGAAGGTTGCATACAATGCAAGGACCCCACTCTGAGCATTACTGATTTGGGCTTCGAGTCGTTTTACTTTTTTTTTTTTTCTTTTAAAGCTTAATACTTTACTCGTTTTTTCTCCCCTTTTCTGTATCACTGGTCTTTAGTACTTGGTATCTTTGGGTACTGCTCCATATTCCCCCATTAAGGCAGCATTGACAAACCGGCAGAATAGGACTGAAATTATTAATAACCAATGATTTGGGGAGATTCAGATTTCCCCCTTTTTCTTTTATCCTTCATTTCAGGACCTTAGTCTTTGAAGGTTGAGCTAACCTTCTCCTCTATCCAGACCTCATCTAGATAGGGAAGCCACTGTGCTCTACTCAGGTTTGGGTGGGGATAAATTCTTTGATTAGATTGCTGGGGGTAACTTTGAAGTAAATGGCATAATCAAAGTTCATTTAAATAGGTTCAGCTCCTCATTATAATATTCATTCTCTCATTAATTATTAACTCATCAGAGTTGATTGCCAATGTCAGGAACACTTCTCTTCCAATAGACATGTAAGCCATAAGCTAGCAGCCATGATTATGAGAGAGACGGCCAAATGATCATCCTTTTATTGAAATGCGGGCATTATTAATAAAATGATTAAATTACCCAGAAATTATGTCTCTTGAACCTTTTTAAGCACCACAGGACATTTGGGCCTACCCGCAATTGTGGAAGGTGAGGGAATGATAGCTAGGGAGCACCAAGCAAATCACATGACAACGCAAGATCCCATCATCCCATACCGTTACAGCGACAGCTGTCTACTCCTCCTTGAAACAGGTTCAATCAGCCAATAAATACTGATGGAGCACATATGGCTAACACTATGCTAAGTTCTAGTTGAGGGGGAGGGGGAGAAGATGCAGAATACAAAAGCAAAAGCTTTATCCTTGCCCACAGGCAACCTGCAATGTCGTTGAGAAGACAAGACCAAACGATTTAGATCTGAAAGGGACCAACTAGTCTAACACCCTTCCTCATTTTATAAAATAGAAAACTTAGACTGAGAGAGGGTGAGTGACTTGCCAAGGTCACTCAAGTATAAATAGCTGAGATCCAGGACCATTAATCTTTCTACAACACCACCCTGCTTCTCAACATGTATACATATATACATATACATATATATATACACATATGTATATATATATGTATGGGTGAAATAATTAGAGAACAATATAGTTTGTCATGTAGTGTTAAATGATGGGGATAATTAGGAAATAAAATGGCATATAATTAAGTGGTAATTGTGTAGTATGGACAATAAATATAATAGTTGTTAAAGAAGAGAGGCATTAATGCGGGATAAAGTCTTCCAGGAAAATTTCACAGAGCAGAAAGATTGAGTAGAAACTAAAAAACTGGGTGGGCATCATATGGAAAGGAACAATATGAACACAGGTTTCCAGATAGATCTGTGCATGGCACCTGAGCAGAATAATGAGGAGACTGCTCTGATTGGAGCAGGTTTGTGTGTGGAAATAGAGATTAGGGCTAAATGTTAGACTGTTTGGACTTGATCTAG